AGCAAACACATAAATTCAAGCTGTAATAAAGGGCAAGATAAAAAAATCCAGGTGAATATGATCACAACTTTTCCAAATGTAGCCAGTTCACTGTATAAATAGGCTCATTTACCTTTTTCTGGATTAAATATGGTGCAATTTACCCTATAAACTGAAGGCAGCATATCTTAGAAACAGGGCTAAACTGATTCTGACAAAGCTGTCCAGGGGAGAACACAGGCTCAGGGAACCTTGACCCACTGGGCATTACTTGTTGCTCTGGTCTGTGCCCTTCTGGAATCTTCACCTGTCCCAACCACATTGATATACTACTTTCCACACATTAATTCCAATATCTCATATAAAACCAAAAGGTACTGCTACCTAAATTAACTACAATTGCCTTTTTTTTGCCTCCCCAAAACTCTACTATTAACAAAAAAATGTAATTAGCAACATTTAGGATCACTTGAGGTTAAGCAGTGCACCAAACCTACAACCCTGGCAGTGGAAAGTGAAAACCTTTCCTTTTAAAAGCAAAGTAATTCTTCAGTTTCTTTAAAAATTATCACCCCCAAACATAAGATCATCAGGTTTGCTGCCCCTCCCTCCCAATCCTCAGCCAAACCAGTTCCAACCACACTTGGAACATCTTGCTTTGAACTACTGCACATGTTCTCAGCTCTGAGTTTTGGCATGATAAATGGCTCCTGTCCACTAGACACTGCAAAAGCAACTTCTTGCCCTTTAATTCTACTTCAGCTTGAAAGGAGAAAGTTAAAACATCTCTTTTCAAAGTCCTTGTCCTCTAAACCTGAAAAAAGTGCAAGAGTGCAAGTTCCCTCAGCTAACTCTCCCATCTCCATACTTCCATTTTTATAGCACCCTCCAGCTGAAGCCTTTAAAGACATTTGGTGAATTACAGGAAGTTATATTTAACCACATGTTATTTAAAGATGACTGTGACATACCCAATGTGCCTTTTCCACAGCTCTCCTGAGGGGGGTGTGGGGTGTGAAGCCTTTGCTGTGTAATTCAGGAAGTCAACACACAGTTTTGCCAGTTCGTGAAAGCTTTTGCCATTTCACTCATTTATTCTAGCTCTCATGTCAGTTCCATTGTTCCATAACAGTTAAGGTTTTACAGCCTTAAAATAATAAATGCATTTTCTTTTCACATTTTACAAGTCTATTCCGCATTGGTTTCACCTCTGAGAAGCAACAAGACATGACTTTGCACACCTACTATCACATCAGTGACCAGCAACGTCTATGCAATTTTTCTCTAAACAGTGAAGTTTAGCTGAACAGTGAGTCAGGATCTCCTTCCGCAGGTTCATTTTAGCTTTTTCTAGAAAGATGATTCTCTGAAAATATAAAAGAGGCTGCAAATGAACAGACAGCAACTCACAGAGACAAGCCAGACAAACAGAGATGCATTATTGAACAACATTTAGAGCATCCATGAGTGTTTCTCCGTTCCATGCATTCTGTGTCCTGCTGACCATCCAGAGGACAGGATGAAATATGCTTTTCATTACTGCTTCCATTATTCTGTAACTTTAGCTTGCTGTCTTCTCTTCTACACAAGAAATGGTTTGCCAATACACTGAAGTTGACATGAACAGCTTTATTGTGACCCAATTTGTATTGCTTCCCTCAATTCCCATGTTTGTCCCCAAATGTCACTATGGTCATAATCTTGTTTTATTCACACAGCAGCTGTTATCTAGAACAGCACTTCCACCTTCATCATGTGGACCAGAACACACTGAAGTTGTGTGATAGTTTTTGTTACTATTTTTCAAAGCAAATCATAGCTCTAACTACGAGTAGAAGTAGGCAATAAAGCAATTTTCTTGGGAAAACTGGTTTTCAACAGCTGATTAATGCATGTGAACTTGAACAATTCCAAAGAAAAGGTCACATCTAACGGAATATTTTTTTTTCCTACTGGAGAAAGGTCATCATTTGAAACAAGACCTACAGGGCAGCAAACAATCATTAAGATGCTTTATTGACAATATCCACTCACCGCAAAAGTTTCTGCCTGCACTCAATTAGATCTTAGCTTTCCCATAGTGTTTTATTGGCAGTGGAAAATGCATCAGTACTTTATTGAAAGAAAGCAATAAATAATACTGTGATAAAAATAGTTCAAAAGTAGACTGTACATATTGTTACATAATCTGAAAATACACAAAAGATTAATAGAAAAACAGAACAGTAACAATGGATTTCAGTTTTACAAGCAAGTTAAAAGTGGAAAACAAAATAAGGAAAAAAAAGACATGCTATATATATTGTTGCATAATAAATAATGCACCATCTGAACAGATTCTTGCTGGCTTTTAATATGCCATTTACAAGTGTCAGGTAACATTTTCTACTCATACAGTCCAAAATGGCTACAACCATCAAAATGAAAGTCCAGACAACTCTTTAGAACAAGTTTACAAAACACATAGGATGACTTACGTAAGAAAAGTAAGGCCTTTGTTAGAAGATGCACTGCTTTAGTTTTCAGCCCATTGTACCTTCAGCTTTCACTACTCATTTGACATGAGGCTGCAGTGCGTTATGATTGGTCCATTAAACTAGTTTCACCAGCATCTTTCCACAAGTGTTTTCAATCAAAAAGATTTCGGACAAAAAAAACCTCTCTGTGGCCTGTGGCTTACAACCAGGAATCATTATGAAGTCTATCATCTTCCTCAGTTAAGGAAAAGTAAAAATACAAACAGTTCGTGGTTTATGGCTTGTTTTCAGTCACTGTGAAGATTCACTATACAAATACAGCAGAGAGTGTTATGACTGAGTCAATCACTTCTAAAACGTGTTCGCAGTGTTAGAGTTCTCTCAGCTTTTCAAACAAGTTCTAGTTTAAATAAAGACAAATTGCCACTACTTGACAAATCCTCTTTGTGGAAAGGTACAGCTCTGAGAAGAACAGCACTCATGTGCTGCACCTTCTGCATCAACATATGCTTACCTGAAAAACTTGGTTTCAGATCTAAGCTAACAGTTCCAAAAGACAAAATATATACTGCTTGGTGTCATGGTACTTTTACAAAGGTATTAAAATCCTTTTCACCTTCAGTTTCATTATTAAAAAACAATGATAATTACAGTAACTGCATAATTTACAAAAACCCTATATTGCTCATAGGGGCATATACATACAAGCATTACAGTACATTCAGTTGGAAAGACTAAAATTAGAATAAAAAAATCAGCAATGATTTGATTTGTAGACTGAATAGAAACAGAAAAAGTAAGTAACTATATAAATGAGAAGTCACATAAATATAAGAAACATTTAGATTCTAAAATATTTTCTCTATAGTACTCATGAATTTATTTGCTAATTAAAAACTCTGTAATAAAATATCTCAAAGTGTCCTTTTAACAAGTATTAACAGGTTAAGGGTTCCAAATGTTCAAAATGCTGCATATCACCGGTAGAAATAGTGTGGGTAAACTGTAAAAACAACAACAGAAAACACACAAAAAGGAAAAAAAATAGAAAAAAATCCATTAGCAGTTTTTAAGCACCATTTCATTCCAAGATCCTCACAAACAGCTCAGCAGTGTAGCAGTCATGCACCAAACTATTGCCATGCCACATTGTAATTTGATTTTACTGCCTCCTGCAATCTCCAGTTGCAATGCAAAGTAAAGCACATGAGGGCAACTATTTCTGCTTCCAAGATTTTTATCCCAGGCCACCTGATCACAGAAAATCCTGAAAGAGTGGGGACAGTCTGGGGGATGGAAAGACTTAAAACCTCAGTGTCTTGGAACTAAACCAGTTAAGATAGCCCCTGAGATTATGAACTGACAGGTCTGAGTTGCTATGTGTAAGAGTTTCCCTTCTCAGCATGTCACATGTAAGATCTCTTTAGAACTAAACTCATATATGCAAGAAGGTTCAGAATGTGAAGCAAAGGCAGCCAATACATGAGGTGGAAGGGATGCTACCAGTGAGGAGAAAAGAAAGAAGCTGCAAAACAAGAGACAATTTACAGTTCATGAAAGATCCCAGCCAGGGAGACATCCACTACATTTTTATGTTTTGGGGTTTTTTTTTAAAATCCATTACAGTAAAAATAAAATTAGTTTACTGACTTGCTTGCAAAAAGAGAGAAACATTGTTCCATGAGAAAATACAGCAGAGGCTGCTGCAGAAACATTCCAAACCCTGGAGTAAGACAGGACTACAGAACTCTCACCAGCCAGAACACAGGTATTTTGTGCTACAATACTCGTGTTATCAAGCTGCCCCTTACTGTCAGCACTGCTCCCAGCTCCCCAAATTCAGGCTGCAGGTAGCTAAAACCAGCCAAGACAGCCTAAGCAATCACAGTGGCATGAGGTGTCTAAGAACTGGAAAACTATGCAACTAGGAATTTGTTAGGAGCTGCAGTGACAGGACAAGGGGTAACAGATTCAAACTGAAGGAGGGTAAATTTAGGCTAGATATTAGGAAAAAGTCTTTTCCTGTGAGGGTGGTGAGACACTGGCACAGGCTGCCAAGGGAGGAAGTAGAAAACCCAACCCTGGCAGTGTTCAAAGCCAGGTTGGATGAAACCTTGAGCAACCTGCTCTGGTGGGAGGTGTCCCTGCCCAGGGCAGGGGCTTGGGACTAGATGATCTCTAAGGTCCATTCCAACCCCTAAAATCCTATGATGATCCTATGAATTATCCCTATAACAATTCAATACTGAGGTATGTTACTTTGACCAAGCAAAGACCCTGAATGATCAATAATCTGAACTGCAGTGTCACACACTAAATTTTCTTTCCTTTATATGCCTAATTTAGTTCTCTTCCCTCCTCCCCTCACTGGCTGTGTCTCATCCAGCCTTTGATTTTCACACTTTCTACATAGCTATTTAGCACGAGTCCTTTTGGAGGCTGTTTAAACACCCTCAGAAAAAAACAGTGTTTACAAAACTAAGTATTCAGTCTTCACTGCAGGAGATAAACTCTGGCTTTTCAATATAAAAACCTACCCTGAGAACCTGAGCAGTTTTCCAAGTGTGCAGAATCACTGCATTAAAATATGTGATGTTTTATTTCATCAATAGCTGCTTGACTCTTATACCTACAACTTTACTCACCAGGAGAAGGCTTTAACAGGAGTAGGTCCTTACTGTAGCAGAATCCAATCTTTGTGTTCCTGATACACTGCCTATTCCAAGAAGCATGGGAAGACATGCAGAACACAGCATGCATGTTAGTTTTTCAAAAAACCCCAAACCATCACAGCAATGTGATTACAGCTATGGTACTCACCCAGCTCTGAGGTTACAAGTTAGAAAAGAAGAATTTATTTTACAGTTTATATATTAACCACTTCTAGTTTCAGGGGCTAACAAAAAGGATTTAAAAGATGCCAACGAGCACACAGAAATTGCAAAGGTAGTTTTAGAAGTTATTTACTACTTTATGTAGTTTATAAATATTTATTTTTTTAATATATCAAAGGGGTTATTTGAACTCATGGAATTTTCCACATGAATTCTGGAAAGTATTTTGTGCTAGTGACAGTTTCTACAATTTAGAAGAGCTCACATTTTAGAGTACCAGCAGATGCAAAGATTACTTTGAGCTTCACTCATAAGTACAGTTTTCAGAACCTGAGACAACTGACAGATTATGCTGAAATTCTCTTCCTTGTCTGTTCCAATAAAATACGATTTTCAACTTGTTTTTACTTGTCTTTTGTGAAACAAATTCAAGTCAAAGTTTATTCTCATGGTACTACAGAGACTGCTTTTAAACAGACAAGATCCCTCATGTGACTGGTGATCAACTTCCACTTCCAGCTGGGATTCTGGGGGGCTGTTTTGTTTATGTTTCTTTTAAACTCCTATCTGTGTCTGTGCACATACAGATAATGAAGTACACAGCAATTAATGAAGCAAATATTAATCATACTCAAAATCACTAAGAGACCACTGCAGAGGGCTAATGCACATGTTACTCAGGTCTTAATAATCTCAAAATTATCTAAGGGAGTTAACTCACATAATTTTTAACTGCATTTTACTGCATTTCAGAAGTGGGACTTACATTGCTGCCAATTAGAAATTATGCATCATATGACTAAAAGACTTGTACTAAACTGTCGTGTTACTTTCCTAGTTTAAAATAAATTTATTCCTAACTATAATTCTCATTTTGTTGCTCCAATGATGTAAAATGAAACTCCACATCTAGCAGAGCTTCCTGAAACGATAAAGCACCCTATGGTTAAACAGTGTTATATGTACACCCATGCACAAGGCAGATGCTTTAATGAAGCAAAAAGGTCATTTGAACTTAATTCCCCTGTAATCTCAGGCAAAAAAGCTCATCATGCTTAAAATAATACAAAATCAATACCATCAATCTGCATCTTCTTTGGCTGCATAGAGGGTGAAGACATTGAGGTTGTAACTCTGAAATTTGCAGGAAGAGTCTCTGCTGATCCAGCAGCTAAACCTCTTATGTCCTTTGGTCTAAACTTCTTTCTCCATGAAGGTGCTCTCCTAAAGCTCTTATCATCATCCTGTCATATTGATAAACAACATTAGCAGTGCAAAAAATGCAGGACTGTTACTGACAATCTTAAGTAAATGGAAGAGTTAATTGTGAGGAAATAACAAGTGCAGTAAATACTGTATTGCCACCAGTGTTCTGCTTAAGCACTTGGGTAAACTTCACTTGCAATTACCCAAGTGCATTTTCCTTCCCCCATCAATACATCTGCACCTTTCAAGCAATATTCCCACTTCAGAAATAGAATGTTTCACTTACTAAATACAAGTCCCACATCCAACAACATCTTTTGCAGTAAAGGCATTGTGTCAATGCAAATACACCCACTGGGCAGCTCCAGTTGCCAACTTCACATTTAGAAACAGTTCAACCCTTTGAATGTCAATTTACCTCAAATTTATTCCCTTTTAGAATTAGGAGACAAGTATCTCTATTATTTGATCTTCATGATCAAACTTCTCTGTGCCACTAAAACAGTTCCCTCAAAGCTCTTCTTGCAGTTTGAAATCTCTGAGGAAAAAAAACTGAGAGAACTATCAAGCTGCTTTCTGACATTCTACTAAAACCTTAGTAGAGATGTACACAGAGAACAGAGCTGTCAGGAGGTGCCACAAAAGGGCTGCAACGAGTCCATTAGGCAGGAGATTAACACAAAACCAACCAAGGTTAGTTCGAGCAGCCTCTTTCCTTAACATACTGGTGTCTGTTTCACCCAGTGAGTCACAGGCAGTTCAAGTCAAGACCTTCCTCTGTCCTGGTTCCCATACCAAGACAAATGTTTCTGAGGTGGCAGCAACTGATCTGGTTAACCACATTAGAGTTTTGCCACTTTAGCCTTAATCTGAACCATGTTTTCCTACATGTGCTACCACATAAACTCCCATCAGTACCAAAGATGAGGCAGCACAGGGTTAAGAGTCTCTTGGGGAAATAACTCCAGCCTGAAACTGTTCACAGAGTTACAGCATAGAGCAACATAAAAGGTTAAAGATGTAACACTCTCTCCTTTATGCCGTGGGTTCACAGGGCTACAAAATAGTCTCACACCTAGAGAGTTTTATACTTAGTACATTTCAGTGCAGTTCATATGCTGAGGTCACAGACTGCCCCATGGAAATCACTCTGATGTGTAAGCACACCTGGTGGTCATCCACACTGGTGTTAATGGAGACTAACAATCCAAGTTCTGGAAAGCCACTCAAAACTATTTGAAACCTTGCTTGTTAGGACAAAGGTCTGAACTCTGCTGTGCAGTGCCTCTCTCTATTATAGCTTCTTCACCTGCAACACTGCTAACTTTTCCATATTTTAGACAAAGCAGATTCAGCCTGAAGTGTCACTATTAACCACATGAGCTACAAAAACAAACCTTGAAATCCTCTCAATACTTTCATATTCAAAGTCATTTTACCTAAATACACAAACCCTGACATATTTAGAAACTCTCAAAGACGAGGAATTTCAAATTCAGGTTGTTGTCACTATTTTGTCAATAGCCTAAAGATGTTTGATCTAAATTCTTTCATTTAACAGTTCTGACAAAGTTCCCAGGCCCATAAAATGGGTCAACAGCTCAAGTAACTTACTTCATCAAGTCTTCTGTCTGTGCCCATAGCAAGAAGGTTATTAAATTCCCTCTCCAGAACAGCACGAGCCTAAAGTTTGTGACATGAAAGAAACGGAAATTAATTCCAAAAGATTAGTAATTAGTAACCTACAGCGTTTTCAGAGCTTAACAGAACCCAAATTGTTGAATACCTTCTTATCAGATGAATCAACATACTTCATACTTGAAAAGTCAGTGCTTGAAAAGTCACAATTTAATTTGTAACTTATTAAAAATTTAGAGAATACTTCACAGCTCTCCCTTCCCTCAGCCGTGACGTGAAAGTTCATGATTTCTGGCTCAAACTTAATGATTTCAGAACAAAAACTAGCAAACAACAAAAATGAGTTTTACACTGATGTTGTGAAGGGCTATGAGGAAAACAGACAGTTTCTTTTTCAAGCAAGTTTATCAACAGGAATTGTTACTGACAATTAGAAAACTGTAAGAAAAGCATAGTTTTAAGTTCTTCCCTTCTAGGATAATGGACAACTTTCCATTTCTAAAGTTTCTAGAGTTGGGAAGAGAAAGACATGCACATACTTATGAAAACACCTGGTCACTTCCATTTTTAACCTTCCTAGAGGGGAGAACATTCCTATAAGCCATAAAGTGATTCCTCCTTGCTTACCTGTGTGTTTTGAGTGGGGATTTGCAATAGGAGAGCTAATGCATTGTAATCAAATGATTCATCTAAGGCCACAAGTGCACCATGAACTCCACTCTCAATAAGGTTATTTGCGTATTCTTTAAGACCAATGGACATGACCCAATTGATCATTCTCTCATTGCTCCAGACAAGGACATCTATGGAGAAAAAAAGTGTTGGCAGATTTACAACAATACAACTTTGTTTGAACAAAATCATAATCTAAGGTGGAAAGGAAACATGTGAGAAGTTTGCTGTAAGGCATTTCATACTGTAACAGCAAAGGGGAATTCTAAGCATGTTGTGCAACCCCAAGTTTTCAGTCTATGACCAGAAAAGTCTTGAGTCCATGACTAGCAAAGATTTCTGATATTGGGCATGAAACAAAGTTTCTATGGGATGTCTTGGAAAATACTGTGAACTCCCACCCTGCTTTTGCTTATTCATTCTCTCATGTTCCATAATCACCAGGAATCTGGAAGACATAAATATCTAAGTCATCTGGATATTTTTCATAAACTTCTGGGTAATAAAAGTCACCAGCCACAGGAAACAATAAAATCATGTAGCTGCAAAGCTGTTATGTCAGAACAGGGGTTGAAAACCTTTATCTTCCTAAAGCATTTAGTTTCTGAGGCAGATCAGTGAAAACATGTTGGAATCAGACTGAGGTAAACACAACACACTAACCCTTAATTTCATTCTGGCTTTCTTCTCTTTTTCTTTCAAGTTCTTTTCGATCATAATTCAGTCTTCGTAGGCACATAATTCCACACTGGAAACTGTTTCTGTTTAGAAAAGGGGGAAAAAAATGAAAACAAAAAACTTAGAAATAATGAAAACATTTACTGTAAAAGTTAGGCCTCCAACTTAAATGCCTTTACCTGTGAAAGCTGTCCACCATTTTCAGCTGCCCACGCAGGTCTTTTTTAGTTAAGTGATCCAACATTCTGGCATCCACAAGGCATTCCATGAAGTAGCTGCGGTACTGAGGGAGCCCCAGGCTCGGGAGCCACTCATTGCCAATCCACTCATGGTTCATATCACCATAGGCTAATGTCTGTTTGGAAAAAAATTAAGGAATAAGCTTATTAAAGTGAGAAATGAAAGAGGAAAGCTATTTTAGGCAGCATATTTGAAAGGAAATGCTTACTTAATTCTTAGCCTGTAAAGATAAGCACATCAAAATACTCAATACTACATGTGTGTTTTGTGAAGAGTTCATCTCATGGAGAAAAGCAAGTTTAGCTATTCAGATCAGCAAGTAAAACTGCCTTAATTTACGCCAAGAAATAGTATAAAAGAATATGCCAGAGCTAATAAAGGTAAAAAAATACTAATCTCTACAATTTGATAGCAAAAGCCCCAGAATTTCAGTGTGTTGTAATGTTGCAAATACTGTTTTTTCTTGAAAACTGGGGGGAATCTTATTTTTCATGTGACTATATAAAGACAGGATATCAAAAAATAACTGGAGGCCTTTTTTGATATACTTAGCTGTTTTCAGAAACTGATAAAAACCTACTACTGAAGAACAAGCAACTCTAAATTTTAGTCTTTATCCTGAAAGAGACTTTTCTCATTGCAGTTTCAATCTGCAAGCCACCAGGCATTTTTGGAGAAAACACCTAAAAGGATGAGAGTTTGTAGCTAGACATCTAACCATTCCTTGGGCAACAAAACTCAGCTGCTCCTTTTTTTCCAAGGAGCAGTAATTCTTTTTTTTCTCTGTGCAGTTAAAAGTCAAACACTTTACTTGCCCTCTAGAGGAAGCACCTTGTAGAAAGGAGCAAGGCCAAAGGGAAAGGCACTTCTTCAAGCCATCAGTAGGCAGCAGAGAGAAGGAGCTTGTTACGAAACAGGGAGGCAAACTGTGCCTGTTATCACTGACTATCAGCAAATGAGCCTCTGAGACTTAGTTAATGGGACTTAAACAGGTTTAAGCTGGAGAGCAGCCAAGCAAGAAGAGACTATACTGTCCTGAGATATGGGTCAGGGGTAAATCCTGAGTTTTGTTTATATCCCTGTATAAATACTCAACTATATCAATGCCTGAAAATACAATTAGGATTTGCCACCACTTTAAGGCAAAACAATTAATCAAGGAGGATTACAGAATTAGTGCACAGAAATCTACTTAGCTATCTAGGCTCAGCATGTCTTGCAGCACACCTGTGATGGTGGCTGGGTTGAGCAGGGACTTTCTGCAAAGAGCAGATATTCTTCTTGGACTTGTGGCCTCCCAGAGAGCCACCCCTCACCAAAACATGGCAATATTTAAATCACCTAAAGATGTATCTTCCAAGTATGTGTTACCTAGAGATAAGCCTGTAGGCTCCCCTCTCCCAATCCCCAAGCCACACCAAGAATCACTAAAAGATATTGCTATGAAGAAAAAAAAACCCCATATTATTTCATGCTGTAATTATTATGACAGTTTACATACAGTCTGTAATATTAGATAAAGTTTCCAACCTGAGCCCAGCTTCCCTCCTCATCTTCCTGTTACGTGGTTAGAAAAGCAAAAGAACACACACATATTAGTATTTAAGTTTAGTAAGGAGGTCAAAGTTAATGGTGCACTGCAAGACTCTAAATCTACTGCATACCAAAACAATCTGGATAAAGCAAGCAGCATGCATTGTAAAAAATTATATATACATGTATGAGAAGATGCAAAACCCATCTACTGATTCAGTTTTCTGGAGAGAAGAAATTTCTGCACCGATAATTCAAGTTGTCTTAGTTAATCAAATCAGAACTCTATTTTACAGATTTGAGTTTTCTTTACAATCTTATCAATGTTGATTTTTTTTTTTCTCCCTTCTGGAAAAAAAAAATCTATCAAGATGCAGGTTATGAGGTTAATGATTAGAAGAAGCAATGATCCAGAATTTTAGTGTGTTAATTTGAAGAAAAAAAATAAAAAT